TCAATGACATCAAATGCCTTTTTTAAGTCAATAAAAACACAAATTAAATCGTTTTTATTGTCAATTGCTGATGAGATTTTATCTACTAAATCCATAACTGCCATTGCTGTTGAATGTTTGGTCCTAAAGCCATACTGTTCATGATTTAAAATTGAATTTTTGTCAATGAATTTGTCCAACCTTAATGCAAACACTTTTTCTAATATTTTGGAAAACTGTGGAAGCAGTGACACTGGCCTGTAATTAGTGAAACTCTGTTTATCACCGCTCTTAAATAATGGAACCACCTTGGCAATTTTCATTAAATCAGGGAAGACTCCTGTAGATGGTGACAGATTACATAAGTGAATGGTTCAATAACAGATTCAATTATAGCTTTTACAGTCACCATGTCCAGATCATCACAATCAGTCGATCTTTTGCTTACCCAGTTTTTTACAATGTTTCTTATTACTTGTTGATCTACTTTGTCCAATAGAATACTATAGACATTTCTAGGTATTTTATTCATTGTATCGTGAATTATTGGTTTGCTTTCTGTTGGTATTTTTATAAATGTACCTTTTTGAGACCTAAAAGATGCCCATTACACATCATGAATCTCTGTGTTGGTATGTTCATAAAAAGGTTGAGCAAAGATGTTAATTGAGAGAACTCTGTACCTCTGTAATTTGAGACGGTCCGCTTTCTCCCCCCCACCCGTTGCTTGAATAAAACCACTGAAGACTCTGAGGAAGAGGGAGTCGCCTGGCAGCTAGCTCTGGAGAGAGTTATGTGTCATGGTGATCTCCCCCTCATTTGGCTAATTCAGTGTAAAATGTCTTCCTTGTTGTCATGTGTGTTTATTTCAGGTTCCAGGGTTATGGAGGTTAAGTATTATCTACCAGATAATTGCAGAATGCAGGTATACAGAACAGGTGAGGATAAAGCTTTGAGGCTGAAGCAGAGTGGGGGCTGGTTGAGACACACACATGGACATGGGGCCTGGTTGAGACACACACATGGACATTACAAATAATCAATTTACTCTCTCTCTCTCTATCAAAGGGTGTATCGTCCTTTAAGGTAATATGGGATAAAATCAAATTACCTAACAAGTGGTGGAGAATGCGGGCACCGCAGAGCCTAGCGATGGAAGTTCGTCTCCAGGGAGCCGTGCAGCGCCATCTCTTCTTTGAAAGTCCGGGTGGGCTGAAATTGTCTCATCGGCCGGCTAAATATAGCTCTGCAGGTGAACTTTTATCAACAGGCTCTCGCGTTCTGACCCCAGGACAGAATTACCACGCGGAGGGGAGTAAGTTAATTCATTAATTCATTAAGTTAATTCATTAATTCATTTTGCGTCTGTTTCTTTAACCACTGGCAGTGTGGTTTGAGTTGATTGAGGTGGGCCAGTTGCGGCCGTGTGTGTGTGTGAACCTCTTGAGTGTATGAGAAAGTTGATGACCGGAAAAAGACGTGTGAGATTGTTTTGGCTAAAATTTGTTTGAGTCTGTTTCTGGTAAGGGGAGACTGTGGATCAGCTCTGGTGAGCTCTGGAGAGCAGAGTTCCGGTGGGAGATCGCTTCGCAGTCTGGCAGCTGAATAGCATGCTGGGTGAGTAAAAATTAATTGCACCTTTTGTTTTTAACCGTTGGCAGTGTGATTTAAGATTGATGGTGGTGACTGACATTCACGCACAAAAAGACGTTTTTGTGTCCAGCAAGGGGTTGCACATGTAAACCGTGGGGTTGCATTGAAACGTGAACCGGGCTGTATTCCTGCCTTGAAGAGGAGGTTTTAATAAGTCTTGTGTCTGCGTACACAGGGCGTCCCGCAGAGCTGTGGGTAGTAATTACAGGTGAATGTTCAGGTGCACCTAAAACTGTTGCTAAACCAGCGCTGCATTAAAGCAGCCGCAGATGGTTAATACACGCAGCACGTAAGTGCTGGTGTCGATTGGAGTGGTTTGATGCTAAAATCACACTGCCGCAGGGAATTGTTTAAATATTTTATGGTGCAACAAGGTACACAAAATTTATTGATTGGCTTAAAAGATCTTAAATCGGTCTAAAATTCCTGGTCTGTGTTATTTGTCTTGTGATTTTTCTGGCGTCATGGGGCTGCGTTCCATTTTGCCGGTTTCCGTGTTGTGTATTGTTGAAAGTTGACGCTGAGGACTGGCATGTTAATTTCTGACAGAGTTTTGCTCCGTCTGTGTATGAGTAAAGGTTTTTGGGCCTAACCGGATCTGGTCTGATCTGGGGGGGTTGTGTCCAAGTTCTGAATGTGTGTGAGTGAAAGCCTGCAGGTCCGTTTCTGTGTGTGTGTGTGTGTGTGTGTGTGTGTGTGTGTGTGTGTGTGAGAGAAGTTTTGGGCCGAAGTTCTGAAGCCTGAATGTGCCGAGATCTTTGAATTGGTGGAAGGTCCGAATGCATGATACTGTGTGTGACTGAGGCTTTGAGCCTAGTTTGTTCTGTGTGAAACCTGCAGATTCTAGATAGTCTATGTTCTATGTTTCTGTTTTGTTCTGTGTTGTCTTGTTCTTTATTCTGTACATGTATGAATAACACTAACATCCTGTGATGTGTAAGTGTGGGTCAGAAGGCTCAGGTGTGTGTGTGTGTATGTGTTTCCTAAGAGATGCTGGAGAAATAGAAGAAAGGAAAGGAGGGGTGAAGGTTTGAGGGGGTGTATGAAGAGACAACGAAGTGTTATGGGGGATGGTTTTGATAAGGCTGCAGGCCACTAAATGTTTGATGGTTTGGTTAGGAAGAAATGAGAGGTTAGCAGAGAAGGTTAAGGAAAAAAGCAGACAGATGGAGAAAAGACAGAATTAAAGAAATGGTTGAAGAAACAGAGAAGGCAAATAGACAGTTTAAAGAAATGGTTGAGGAAAAGAGAGAAGGCAAAAAGGAAGTTTTAAAGAAATGTTTGAGGTGTGATGATTAGCTAAATACTATCTGAAAAAGTCATTGCTTTTATCTGCATGATAACTCGTAATAAACTAGTAAACAAAATGACTTACGTAGATAGAATGTTAAGGAAATACAGTTAAGCCGGGATAAAGACATCCATCCTCTAACTCCTTCTGCTTGGTTGCCCAAATATGATGGAGATGATTCACGCGATTGCCTCAAATTAAATTAGATATTCTGGTCTACAGGCCTTTTATTATTTCATTAAAATAAATAAATACTCTTTCTAAAAGATCATGTAGTTAGACCTAAGTAGTTCCCCTAATCTTTTATTGATAGATTTGACCCCAAATTACAGAATTAGAAGGGAAAATTCATGATTTTGTGTTTTAAGAGGCACATAACCTTATAACTAGCTTATGCCATTTTAAAATGACAGACTCTTTTCTGATAGCTCTGGTAGATTAGCTGTGCAGCAGCTACTCTGGATCCGAAGATACCTTTTGCTCATGAACCAAGATTAAAAATACAACTTTGACTCAAGATGGTCTCTATTTCACAAGTGGTAGGCTGTTCCTTTACTGGAATGCAAACTTTAGATAGATAGTTTAAACAGCCCCAAAGTAAATATTTCAGCCTGGTGTACGTGGTTTAATTTGAACATTCTGATTTTATGAGACCTATTGTTTAAATTTTCTAATCTGATAGATGTAAGCTAGTGTTACCATGTTCGGTATTATTGTTTAGATTATGCAGTTTTACTTTAGTGGGTTATGTTCTTAGGTAAATAGAATTCTACACTATGCAGTAACAGTTTTTTATCTCAGCATTTTATCATATGACTAAATCATGTTAAACTTGGTGTTCCTGCCATAAGACTGGCTTTACAGGAGGGTGTTTAGATTTTTTATGAACCGTAAAAACTTCCCGTTAAATGTGTCTTATCGACCATTGATAGATTTAATTTAATAACATGATTGAATCGACACGGTGCTAGATTTTTCCTGTATGCTATTTCTATGCAAATCTTGTTTGAAATGTAAACATCAACTCAGCCCCTGCAGACCATAATGCTAATCGTAGTATTTTATTTTACTCAACAGTAAGGCTGTTTTGTAACTATTTCAACATTTAAGCTATTACCATCATTTATTTTCTGTTTGGGTTATAAGGTTTAATGACTACGTTTACATGCAGCCAATATCCGGGTTATGATCGGGTTAAGGTCGGTTTTCGGGTTTCTGAGTTGATCGGGATAACCCGTTTACAAGAAAGAGGCAACCCTAATTTGCATAACCCGTTTTCAATGCGGACTTTGGGGTAGCGTCAGGACGTATGGATGGCGTCAAGACGCAATATGCGTCATTTCCAGGTCATCTTGTTCCGGTGTCCGAGAAAACAACAACATGTTTCCCAGTTCGGAAGAGATAGCGAGCGCGTTTGTTTGCGCTTTAGTGCTGGTATTGACCCACCAGCAGCTCTTACAACGACTGTGCGTACTGGCCGTCATTCGAAGGAGAGTATGTGAGGAAGAAATTGCAAATATAGAGAGAGCTGCGCTAAACATATCCAACATGTCGAGGGTACCCGTTACCACCAGAGCCCCGCGGACACTTTGGATGAAGGTGCGCAGCCAGGACTGGTGGGAGCGGGTTGTAATGATGGAGTTCACGGACACGGATTGGCGTGAGAATTTTCGTATGTCACGTCAATCTTTTGCTAAACTTTGTGGTATGATGGAAAGAGTGATGGAGCCCAGCGCAGTAACCATCCGCACACCAGTGCCTACAGGAATGCGCGTTGCAATGGTGCTGTATAAACTAGCAAGCTGTGCCGAGTATCGTTTGATAGCAAACCAATTTGGAGTGCACAAGAGCACCGTGAAGAAGATGGTGTACCTATTCTGCCACGGAATGGTCGACTCTGTCATCAAAACACTGATCCGGGTACCCACTTTGGAGGAGGCATGTGGCATTGCACAAAGATTTGAACGTGCCCACTCCATTCCTCAAATCATAGGTAAAATATTTCCTGCTCTTATGTCTTGTTAATGTCAATAGTTTTCTGAGTAGGCTAAATGTGAACTATACTATGTATGTAGGCTACACTGCTGTGTGCATACTTTTACTTTTTTAATTGTTTTTTACTTTTTATCATAGGTTGTGTGGATGGGAGCCACATCCCTTGCTTGCCTCCAAGTGATGGCTACAGAGACTTCATAAACAGGAAGGGATGGCCATCCTATGTCCTCCAGGGAGTCTGTGATGACAAATACTGGTAGGTGTTTTGCCATTCCCAGCTTTTTTATCCATGATTATGATTTGTATATAATTTTGACAGACACACATCACTAAGCTATATTAGAACCACTCACAAACATCAATTGAGAGGTTCTCTGTTCCACAAAACATCAACAGCTTATATGTACAAATAATTCTGTCATTACTGATCTGAAATAATTTTCCTAATTTTTGCCACTAATCACACCGCTCCCACTACATCTTGATTCACTGTGAAACATTTTCCTTAGTTTTTGGAGTGTGAGCTGCAAAATGCCTGGTTCAGCACATGACGCCAATGCACTCCGCCAGTCAAATCTGTTCAACAATGCACAATCCTTCCCAAAGGTGGGTAATGCATTAAAACTTTAGGTATTTAAATGCAAGTTGCATACCTGCCACATATCTAAGATGTATTATGACATAATTTAGGAAGAATAATATTTCTATCTGTCCCACTTTAGAGAGCAGTGCAGATCGAGGGGCAGGATGTGGATTTCTTCCTGCTGGGAGATCCTGCGTACCCGCTGTTGCCCTGGCTAATGAAGGGCTATCTGCAGTCCCCAAGACTGACACCACAAGAGGAAAGCTTTAACGTCTATTTGAGTTCTGCTAGAACAACTATAGAGATAGCATTTGGTCGACTGAAATCTCGTTTCCGTGTTCTGTTGAAGCGCAGTGACTTCCATTTCACTTTCACACCATACGTGGTAGCAACCTGTTGTGCTCTACACAACTTTTGTGAGATGGAGAAGGAGCATGTTAATCCCAGATGGGCAGAGGAGGCCACATCAGTAGAAAGGCTGTTTCCACAGCCTGTGTCACAGGTAAATAGGGCTGATAACAGTGCAGCCTCAGCTATCAGACGGGCCTTAACAGATTACCTTGCTGCACGTGTCCCACTCCGTAAGCGCTTAGTAAGAGCATGAGTGTGCAGGACGAACGGGTCTGATAGGAAACAAACAACGTTAAACTGTAAGCTCGATATTTGTCAAACAGCTGTATTTTCTAAGTTTTATAAGATGTTTATCTGCCTTCTCCTTTGTTGCTGTGCACTTCTGAAAAAGAACAGTTATATGCAATGCTCAAATAAAATGTCAACAAATACAAGTTTTCTAGTAAGTTTAATAAAACATTGGTTCTTTAATAAAGCACATAACAAAATAACATTCTGGTTTTGCTTTTTACATGTGAGGTAAAACAGAGGTTCAAGTAAGGCGCTATGGCGCACCTATCCTTCCATAATGGAGAATAAATACATCAACTACTATGGCAGAACAAGGCTCGAGATGTAAAAATATTGCACATATGTGGAACAAAGAGTTTTTGAAAATGTTTGTTACATAATAAAAAAAGAAGGTGTACAAAAGCTGCAAAAAAGGTGCAAAGTTTAAAATTCTCACAAAAATAATTTTCTACAACAAACTTCATAGGAAATGCACAAAAACAACTGTCAAATAGATGAATGGATTATAAGGTGGGACACTACAGTTGGCAGAATGGTGTAGAATCTTGGTCCTCGCTGTGATCATGTTCAGGCTGATTGTTATGAGAATAGGGAAATCGATGTGGAGGAGCAGGTGGTTGCCTGTTATCAAAATGGTTGTTGTATGGCTGAAACATAGGCTGTGAATGAGAATTACTAAACATGGGTTGAGGAGTTGGCCGCTGGAATAATGCACCTAACCCTGTGAGGAGTTGTGTAACAACCAAACCCATTGAACGGGTCGATTCAGAAAACATTTGAGACATGAATGCCTCATCACTGGCTTGTCTCAACTGCCGTTGCTGCTCAAACCATTGGTTCTGCGTGTGCTGCATTGTCACCAAGAACTGTTGATGCTGAGTCAGTGAAGCAGCTCCACGGTGCCTGAACCTGCGACTTGACCAACCTAGAGCAGACATGACAGGCCTTAGAAAGTGTTGGGTAAGTTCGATCTTAGTGTTCGACTATTATCAATTTTTGCATTCTTATGAAACTTGTGGATTCTAAAAGATGTTTCTTTACCTGTAGGTGACGTGTCAGAATGTCACCTGCGCCTGCATCATAAACATCTCCCTACAATTCTGAGTTTATTAAGAATGCAAAAGTGACAATAGTCCTTAGTTTGGGTCCACGGTTATATTACATAATATCTCATAATCACTGCAATCAAATTATCCACTAAAGAAAGGTACTATTTTCAGACATTACACAAGGAGGAGGAGTGACCTGGGGTTACAATACGCTATAACCAGTTATGCCTTCAGTAACAGTATTTCGAAAGCTCACCAGGAGTAGCTGCAGTGGTATTTGATGGCGGTGTAGACTGGCTAGGCACAGTCATTGAAGGTCCACCTTCTCCAATATTTGCATCTGGCCAGAAATAAAAACAAGCAAAATGTTACAGCTTGATGTTAAAAACGATGTTACTGATAGGTTAAACACAGATGGGTCAACGCATGTATCTACCTCCGAGAGCGAAGCCCTTTGTTGGCATACGTATTGGATTGAGCAAGTCATGTGACTTACCTGTGTTTTCATCATCATCATCCTCTCCTTCAAGATGTGAGCCACTTCCACTTGTTGTATCGCTTGCTGTAGGTGTGGCTGCGTCTGTCTGGTCAAGCGTTCCATAACTGTCTGTAAAATAGCATTAATACAATTCGTATGAAATAATAATAAAAAAAAGATGTCTTTTTACACATCGTGAAACCACAAAACAGCAACAAACAGACTTTACATTTATGTGACGTTTACTATAATTATTAATCTGGGGCAGTGCATGTTAGGCAGCATTTGTGTTACAAATTAGTTACATTCCTATTTATTATAACAATGGTGCTAACAATGTGGGACTAAGTTACGTAGCTACTGTGCTTGGAGAAGGCGCGCAAACCTACCTTGCTGGTCGGTTGACTGCTCCTGTACGTCCTCAAATCCAATATCTACCCCACTTTCTTCAGCTGTACTGATGGGTCTATTGCCCAAAATGTCGTCCATTAAATCAAACTGTGGAAAAGAAGATGGATTGGACCCGCTAGTACTGTTTTGTTTCTTCGCCTTGTAGTAGGCCTTTTTCAGCGTCTTCCAGCGGTACTTCACTTGGTCTGGTGTCCTTACAAACCCCGCTTCGCGTAACTTTTCGGTTACCTTCTTGTAGATTTCGCTGCCTCTGTACTTTCGGCCGTCTATGAAAGACATAACATTCATACTTTTCACCAGACCGATGAACACAGAGGTTTCCTCGTCACTCCAAAAGTGTGGTGCTGTGCCGCGACTCGCCATGTTGCTCCCAATTGTTTACTTCCGGTATTCTGGCGCATACAAGATGTGTCGCTACTCAAAAGACCAAGATTCCTTGCGAACAGAGCAAGCGCAGAACACACGCTCGGATGGGGATATCCCGATATGCGTTTACACGACCAAACATTCGGGTTAGAAAAGGGTTACCCCAGGTGCAGTAACCGGGTTTTTAAAAACCCGGTTATGAGCAAATCCGGGTTTTTGACAGTGTTTACATGGCCGTGCTGAACCGGGTTATTGCGAATATCCGGGTTTTAAAAGGGTTACTGGCAGCATGTAAACGCACTGAATAAGTCTGAGTAACTTCCTTTTGATTAACTTAGATCCTGTAGATGCGTGAGACGCCTACCTCCACAGGAGGGGTGGTGTAACTGATAAAGTTTTGATTACCTTACAAGGTGGAGACGGGCTAGTTCATTTAAATTAGAATGCCTTTTGCCTGAATGCAAATGTGTGAGCCTAAGCAGCTAAATCAAGCTAGACTGAAAGTCTCTTGTGGCACCCTTTTGTGAAAAACCCTTTGAAGCCTCTGTGACGTGAGTGTGTTAACTCCGCCTTAGTGTGATAGAATCTCTGATAAACTCCTTTTGAGACAAGCTAGTTTTAAAGAATTTGGATGTGTTTTATTTTGTTTGTGATAATTTAGGACAGACCATATCTGACTAGTTTCATGCTAAACCAGACATCAATGTTTATTAATTTAAACAATTAGGCAGCACAACTTTTGGGTACACTGTTTTCCTAAATGCAAATTGTTCCCTATGCAAAGACAGGCTGGGAGACTCCTTGATTTGTGTCCTGCTGTGATGTGATGATGGCAACTCGATTAACAGGTGATAAAGATCAGTGGCTGGCTGCATTGGTTCCTGCAGACAACATCAAAGGACACAGATCGGATACAAGACGCTTTGTGCCCCATTGACCCTCCACAACCAGGAAGGTATTGTGATTGCAACACAAGATGGTTTGCTAGGTCCTGTCCTGATACTCTCCGAATGCAGGAATGGCAGACTCAGGAGAAGACTTCAGAGGATCTGAGTTCCTTTGGGCAAGCAGCTGTGGAAGTTGAACGCATATCTAACTGAATGCAAATTGGTCTGTGTCTGTGGCATCCTGCTGTGGGTCTTTGAAGCGTTTGTGACTTGTAGGTGTGTTCAGAAGGAAGTGGAGCCTACAATCCAAGATGGAGGAAGCACGAAAGACATGGCTAAACTGCTGACTTGCAGTCCAAGACGGAAGTGACACAAACCACCGTCACCGGCTGAGCTAATGTTAAACCACAAACCAAGTGGATCAGTTAGCCCAAACCGGTACCAACATGTGAGCTGATGTAAAACCACAAAACCCGCTGTGGGGCAGTCAGCTCTCTCAGGAAGTGACCTGCGTCGACACGTCAGCGGGACGACGCAAAGCTGAGAGCACAGTCTGTGACCGAGATATCACACATGAACTGGAGATGAGGTGCAGAGGTCAAACACCAACTTCAGGAGGGAACCAGAACAGGTCAGCCAGCCACAGAAAACTCAAAACCTGTGACACCTGTTCAGTCCTACAAGCGATTGATTGCCGCACAGGAGGTAACGACGGATGTGGAGCAGAAGATCCACAAGTGTTTGATAACAAATGATATGGGTTACTTTAATAAAGCTAGGAACTCAAGATTATTATGTAGGTTTTGGTGTCTAGTTTATTCATTCCTCATTCCAGGTTTTAACTCTTCCTCTGGGTTTTGTTGACAGGATAATCATTGCTCAAAGGTAGCATTCAGGGGGATAAATTAATAAAGCTAGAAATACAGGATAAAATTGGGTTTGATGTCTGGTTTAATGTTGAACTAAAATCTGATTGATTAATTGGTCATTTCAAATTCCAGGTTAGGTGCGTCCTAATTTCATGTTAATGTTGTTTTATTGGTTTAATCTTTTATTGCTCAAAAAGTCACATCAGGAGGGAATGTTGGGTATTTTTATAAATGTACCTTTTTGAGACCTAAAAGATGCCCATTACACATCATGAATCTCTGTGTTGGTATGTTCATAAAAAGGTTGAGCAAAGATGTTAATTGAGAGAACTCTGTAACTCTGCAATTTGAGATGGTCCGCCTTCTCCCCCCCACCCGTTGCTTGAATAAAACCACTGAAGACTCTGAGGAAGAGGGAGTCACCTGGCAGCTAGCTCTGGAGAGAGTTATGTGTCATGGTGATCTCCCCCTCATTTGGCTAATTCAGTGTAAAATGTCTTCCTTGTTGTCATGTGTGTTTATTTCAGGTTCCAGGGTTATGGAGGTTAAGTATTATCTACCAGATAATTGCAGAATGCAGGTATA